AGCAGGAGCTCCACAATTTCCCGGAGGAGCAACGGTACAGTTGTCCAGGTCAACTGCAAACTTTATCGGCAGTGATGTAAAAGTAGTTGCAAAATAGTCTTTTAAATGTTATCACACGCTATTTAAATTAGTTGCAAATGTTTGTTACATTTTATAGTGGTATTACGTTACATCACTGCGTTTTTAACGACACGATAACGCAAACTGTTCTCCTTCGATACCCTTGGCGATTTTTCCTTTTTAGATACGACGCAGCCAGGGTGATGTACGGAATGACGAATTGCGTGAGATGTCGTTGTGGCGATGATCTGTCGTTAGTTTCCGCTGATCAGTTCGGAAGTTACATCGAGATACCTGGCGGAAACGTGAGGGTGCCTCTTGGATACGTCGGGGTGCTTGCACCTCTGTTACGTGATCTGCCGAATTGTTCACTCAAGTAGGTTAAACGCTATAATAAATATCTCTACGGGAAAATTATTTTCTAATAAAAATAAAATATTACTCGTAGGTATTTATTTATGTAGAAATTAATTTTCATATTTTAATTACTTTTTTTGTTTTCATACTAAGGAAATGTTCATTATTTATTTTTGGTAGAATATGTCAATCAGCCCTCCTTGGCAATTGCAATACCATAATATTAGGCTTAAGATAGATTTTCAAAATTGAATTGATAGAGCTCGAGGTACATTGAACATTTGATGAAGCATGATCAGGTTGTACTTAGATTCATTAATCGTATTATTAGTAATAGACGTCAGTTACAGAATTAATTTTATCAACCGTGAAACTCTATCTTCTCTATGAAACTTTCATAATAGTAAATTTTTTCGTACCTATTCGTACTTTTATCATAGAATTTAAGTTCTTATTGTATTTTTTGTACCAAAATTTCTTTCTGTCCATATTCTCCATTAATATTCACAAGTATTCATGGTCCCATATTCATTTCATAACTTTATTATTAAGATACCTATTCTAAGATACATTTCCAAAATTTGCTCTACATATTTTAGATATAAGAATGTTTTATCGCGATTACCTCGAAATTCGATTTATCGAAGTCGACCGCCTATTAAATTACCATAGATTATTCGAATATGGACTCCATTTAATCATTCACGAATATTATTCCAACAGTTCACAAAAATGTATATTTTTTTATATCATATATGCGAAGTGTTCTGTTTAACTGGAAACGGTGATATATATATCTCATGGCGAGATAAATCATTTGGTAATTAATATCGAAAAAATTTTGTTAAATGTGATTCTTAATATTTTTTATTCGCAATATAGCATCATTTATTGAGACGAACACAATTCCTACGTAATATCATTTCATGCAATAGCAGAATATAAATTCACGAATGACAAAATTAGAAAGAAGTATATAAATATATATTTATGTATTCAACGATAATTATAAATGAAATTCATATTTCATATGCTTATATTAAATTACAAGATTTGAAAAAAAAAAGATATATATGTATTTTCTGTGTCAGATACTGCAAGCCAGTAAGTTGTATCAGATGGGGGGCCATAGATGACTCCTGTCCTCGAGCAGTAGTGAAGTGTTGCGATGGCCAAGAGTATCCAGCCGATTACGTGATTGTCACCATGTCTCTCGGTGTTTTGAAGCACCAGCACGACAAACTCTTCTGTCCAGCCTTGCCCGCGGAGAAAGTCGAAGCCATTTGCAAATTAGGATATGGATACGTTAATAAACTGTTTCTGGAATACGCGAGGCCGTTCTGGGTTTGGAAAGAAGGCGGCATCAAACTGGCTTGGTCAGCCGATGAACTCGCTGACAGATGCGACTGGGTGAAAGGTACTACTTCTCTCACGATATGACAGTGACAGGTGGTTTGGAAACTTGACGAAAATATTGTCGACTCATCGTGAAGCTATGACGAGCTAAAAGTGAAATTAACAGTGAATGGTAAAAAGCGTGCGATTAATCGGTTTCATGCTTCCGGTATTGACCTTTGGTCCAATCGCAGTAATTAAGGAGATGAAACTGCAAATGTTAGTTTTACTTAAATTCGACATAGCGAGTAAATATATTTTATTTTATTTAGTCGAGTTGAGAAAGTAATATGAGAAATTGAATATAGGTAAAATATGCATCAATAGTATTATTATTTCAGAAATCTGTAGATCTTTTTATGAATATTGTTAAGTTATATATGGTCTTGAATTTTACTTGATTATTTGTAATTTAATGTCTACTTATTTTGAGGAATTTTATAAATAGGCGTATTACGTTTCTCTACTGGATGAGTAATTAACGTTTTGAAATATCTTAGGAATTTCAAATATAGAGGAATTATCGACTTCCCAGCATGTTTTATGCGCATGGGTTTGCGGCCGGGAAGCAGCGGATATGGAATTGTGCTCCGATGAAGAGGTCGTGGAGTCGATAACAAGAGTTCTTCGACAATTTACTGGTGATCCTACGCTTCCCTATCCAGCAAATCTTCTCAGAAGCAAATGGTGCATGGATCAATACTTTGCTGGTTCGTATAGTTATATGGGAATGGACAGTACCGTTGGACACCAATGTGATTTAGCCAGTCCATTGCCAGGTATGCAAAGAAAATAATTTTTATTCTTTAAAGTCGATTGTTAAAGAATTTCCAAAGAAATTTACTCAATTTTTCGATCTTCCAGATTATTTTGCTCGTATTAAAATACGTATTTTAAATTCGAATATTTTATTCTTCGCTATTAATTAACAATTATGGATAATATATTTTGTCTTTCACTTTTCATTTCGACTTTCTTCTCTTCTAGCTGATGACAGTAATTATTTCACTGATCTTCCTAGATCTTCTTTCATTTTTTAAAATTATTTTATGTTACCAAAAAATTAAGTCTTTTTTAATTTTAATTTTTATTCTTTATTAAAATTAAAATAAATTTTTAAATTCTTTAACATTGGAAAATCTTTTTTTAATTGTTTAAAATTTGAAAGAAATTGTTTCAATTATTTTAAACTAATTTCTTCTGTCTTTTTTTCCTTTCTGTTTTCGATATTTTTTCCCAGGTACCTGTGAACCTATACCACCTATCCTTTTATTCGCTGGAGAAGCCACAATTCCAGGACATTATAGCACAGTGCATGGCGCCAGATTGAGTGGTATTCGCGAGGCAGAAAGAATAATTCAACTAACGAAACGGTTCGGTGGTCCACCAAAAAAGTCGTCCGATAACAGCTAAGATCGTTTATAATTTCGTGATACTATGAATAAATTGGTACATGTCACAGTAAAACTGTACCTGTCTTTTGTCCAAGTACACGTAAATGGCTTTTGTTCACAAAATTCGACGAAAATGGAACATTGATAATTTTATATTATATAAGACACGAAGCGATGAATTATCTTGAAAGTTTTCGAACAAATATTTGCGTATCATCTTTTGCATTTGGTAATTATATTTTGGATCGTTGTAACGTATATTTTTGTTGCACCTTTACACCATAAGCTGTTGATCTTAATAAAGAGTATACATTTTAATACGATTTTGTTCCTCAAACTTGATGTTTAGTTTGTTTCATTAATATTAATCTACTTCATTGCAGTTTTTATCTAACGAGAAATATGGGTTTTTAATTTCTATGATTTAATCAGCAATGATTGTTAAAAATATAATACTAAGACTACACTTAATATTCAAAATGTTTTATATACCGCGCACATTACAAGTAAAATATCTAATTAAAATCATATAACAATTACTACTAATACTTACTAATTATTAAATTCCGAAAATATTAGGATAAACCCATGTTTCTTGAGAAGAATTAAATATCTACGGTGACTGATGAAAGTAATTACACTCAGTATATGGTTTATTGCGCCAACATTGTTATAACGATAAGTCTCAATAGATACCTTCAACATTTAATACGATAAACATTTACATACTTATTTTAACGAGTTGTTCGTCTCAAAAGAGGAAAGAGATATTTCAAACAGACTCTTTACATATCGACATAACAGGTACGAACGTACATACAGTTATTTTCTTTTATTACTTTCCGTTGGTCCCATTTAACAGCAATCCATGTTATTGCACCGAGGAAACGTTCTTACGAGTCATAAGTATTAACAACAATGGTCATTTACATTCGTTTCTTTTAACGTGGAATTAACAGCTTTGTTATATTTATTTTTTCCTAATACAAGATCTTCGCTGCTATTATATATTTTGAAATATATTCGTTACCAAGAAATGGTACCTTCTAGTTACTGCGATTATTTTTATATTCCGACATATCATTCGCGATATAAACGTGTATAAAGATAAATTATATAATGTGCGTTGTATCAACCAGTGCATATAGCAATGTTTACAAATTTCACAGTTATGTTTAAGAACGTTTGCTCGTTCGATAGACCCAACAGTGCAAAGTAATTCTAGATCTATTTATTGTCCCAGTTGCAGTACTACGTTATGATAAAAATGCCATAACTGTACTCGAAATTCTTTATTTCATTCTTAATTATGGGAAATTTTTAGAAATTGTGTATTCTCGATTATAAAATTACTATTGCAAAACTATAGAAAAATTATGAGTTCTTCGTACGATACAGTTAAAGTAATCTGTAATATTTAGTTATTAAATATAAATTAATAATAATCACGACACTTCTATAACTATCTAGTATAATATCTTTAATATTTGGATATCCTTTCAATAATGTTTCCTCGATTTGCTTTTATTACAAATTTTATAATTTGTTTCGTAGTTATAATTAAAAATGAGATTAATTGCATAGAAATTCGAATGCAAGTATCCATTCACTCATAGCTCGAGTACGATTATGGCAAATAAATATAATATTGGGGAACAAAGATGACTTGCATAGAAGAGGAAGACAAAGATATGTTACATAGATACATACTGTATACTTATAACTATTATATATATAACTTATTTACAACATAAATATATTACATAGAATTTCACGATTAATATATGTAAGATCAGATCAGTTGGACAGAACACAAATATGTAGCACATATTATGTTCGTTTCATGATATAACTTTTAAATAATTTAGCGAAGTATAAAATTTAATTTAAAAAGGAAGATTAAAAATATACAAAAGAATTAACGTATGATTATACAAATACTCTTGTATCCATCCACTTCTGAATACAATTCAGGTTTAATATACGGATCTACCACATCATTTTATGCAATATTACCTTCTACGTACATGCTGGGACATATTTCTCAACAAATTAAAGCACGTTGCTACACGTATGTTATGCACCACATGGAACATTTATTTAACTTTCCTTAATCTTTTCTACCGCAGAACATTCTCCAAATATTTATTATTCACAAACAATAATTCCAAGTATAAAGCATAATCCACATAAAACATGGCAGATGCTTTTCGAAGAAGATATTTCAAAATAATATACATTTATATTTAAAATATTTAAATTACACGAAAAATAGCAATTTACGAATAAAAGAATAGTACTTCACTTTTTTTTTTTCATTTTTCATTTACTGTAATTAAAATAGTCCTTTTTTAACGTTTCCTATTTCACTTTTCACCAGTTAAAGGTATACTATTTCGAATCTTTTATTTTTCACGCACATCGGGGGTTCTTTTCATATTCTATCTGTCTAGTCGAATAAGAAAGTATACAGAAATATTAAAAGACGATATACAAATACACCAATCAAGAGTTTCCAACATGTTTATAGTATCTAACAAAGTATAATAATAAAATGAACGGTTTTCTTTATTAAAAAAGTAAGAGTAATTGTCCAAGAATAATACTTTCTCCTTCAAAGAACAGAAGTACGTCAATAACACGAGAAACATCAGAAAAATCATCATCATTCTCTCAAATTACACTTGAATGTTCTCCATATGAAAACACAACCTTATTGCTTGAGACACGATCGAATTGTTCAGAAATTAATAATAATTCATACCTTACATTATAGTCGATGTCAGCTACGATATCTACATCGTTCCTACATATGTCGGACACGAATACAACTCAATGATACAATACTAATACTATATATTTTCCCGAAGTAGCTAAACGAATGACAAAAGTCTTCGATATCTCATCGTTCACTGTCGATTTCTTCGATCTCCAACATAATTACCTTCGACACAATTATCAATTATTATAAATTCAGCGAAAAACATTCGTCACATATATCATAGAACGAAACGATTTAAATTACTCTACGATATTCGCTAGATTATTTTAAAATACACGGCAAATTCTCTAAATGTAACAGGCATATCGAGAGTATACACCGGTGCCAAGACTTGCGTAATTGTAGCTAAAGATACATACACGTACGATGTCTGCCTTGCTAGTCGAAGAAAGCGATCTAATGGATCTAAGGAACGTTAGCTATGCGTTTAGAAAGTGGCACAAGGCGACACGTGATACTGCGTTTACAGAGAATTATGCGCTTGCTAGCGTGGAACGGCAGTCGAAAAACGATCTTTGGCTTGTTTCTTATGTTGGGCATGATCGACGAATTTCTCAGATCCTCGGCTATTCGTCGACGATATAAGTGTGAATCACGGTATTCTCTTGCATATGTCATCGACCTCTCAATCCCTCCTTCGTTGCTACCCTCGAAAGTGGAGAAGTATTTTTGGTACAGAGATAAGAAGAAATTTTCAACGAAATGCGAACATTATGGACGTAGACATTGAAGTTTATATAATTAGTCTAGCTCGTCATGAATCCCTCGTGTCAAATTTCATGACTAATCACGTGACTACAAATATATTTCGTACATACGTTTCAACGTGCACAAAATTCTTGGAACTTATAAAATAATTGTCTAATTCATCGTGGATGGAATAGGTATATAATGGTTAACTAAAATTAAATACTTCAATTTTTCATAATTATATCTTAGTGCAAGGGCTTAAAAATGTATTTTTAAGATAATACTAGACGAAGTAAAAATAAATTCCACGTTATCGTGAATGGTTACTCAATTATTGAAAATTTCACGTTATATTTGTTCATTGGTGATGAATTTGATTTCACAAGACTTCAACATTATAACAAATCGTGTTTCGTTATAACAGTCAAAGTTCTTAGTCGATGGTGCAATTAGAATAATCCCTAATTCTGCCTAGAACGATATTATAACGAAAGATTGATGACTGTCGATTCACAATTCACGATTTTTGGCAGAATATTATGTTGAAAACCAATCAACGTTGATAATAACGCCAAGAAACCGTCAGTCATATTTTCAACTGCTATCTTTTCGGTCCCAACCATGAAAGCACGCAGCTCCAATTATTCTGAGAAATCGTCATAGAAACCTCGAATTAATAGTTCCTACGTATTTAACAAGTCTCTAAACAGGTCAATCTTCATTCAACATCACTCTATGTCGAATCATACTTACATACACAGCTTGACCTTAAAATTGAGATACAATACATAAATTAAGCTACAAGAACAGACCACGAAACTCCAAGTTAAAAATAAGAGAAGCAAGATAAACCTAGGACCAATTTAACGAAACAGGTCATCAAGATTCGAATGAAATCATATTATAACCAATAATCTCTTGGTATTTCAACAAATATTCATTTAATTTGTTTAATTTGACAAAAATTCCGGCATGAAAATAATATATTATTTTCGAATAAGAATATATTATTTTCGAATAATATATTATTCGTTAATCAACGTCTATAACTGAATAGGAACTATGTATAAATTTTGATGAAATATAAATTATGAAAATATATGTAATAAATTTTGTATCTTTGTCTCAAATCTGCGTTCTTGTGCTTCATAAATATGTATTATTTTCTCGCCAATTATCGCTCAATTGTCTTGCATTTTTTTCAATTTTTTTGAAAAATGAAATTCGATGTATTCAAATAAATAAGATAAGATCGATTCTCTGACGGGTAAAGTATCTAAAGATAATAGAAAAGATCTCGCAACAGGTTTTGACCTGGCATCGCTTATGGTTCAACTGCCGGACAGCTAGAAGTCTAGGATTGATTGCAGGTTGCAGGCGCCAAGGATCGGCAACCACGAGCTATCTGAGCCCGCCATCACTTAGAAACCGATTGCTCCTCGAGGACCTCGTCTGCTCTGAGCTTTATCTCATTCCAGGAGCTTTGGATGTCTTTGCTCTCGCTGAATCGCGAGCAGATTGCGAATCGCAGGAAGTACGTGTTGCTTATCTTCGAGGGTACCAAATGAATGTTTCCGGCCCCGTTGATTCTCTTCAATAGCGCCTCGTTTATGTCATTCGATCCCTGCGAATGATTTCATGTGTCGTTACAGCGGTGTATTTTATATTTCCGTCGTTTAATTAAAAATATTCTTCTATCGCGTGTAATATTAATATCTAGAAAATATTCCTCAGATTTACTAATTAATTGGAAATTTTGTTTAATTAAAAAATGAACAAACACCTTAAGTATCATAATGGAAATATTTTTAAACTTAAGTATGATCAAGGTATTACAATTTTTCGATGGGAAATATTTTTCTGCTTGTAAATGGAACATTTTTTAATTTATCAATGGAAAATTATTAAATTTGTTAAATTTATTAATTGGAAGATTGTGTTGTGGTATGATTAAAAAATAATAAATAAAAATGGACAAAATGTTGAGAGATTATCAACAAAAATTTGGTGATTTAATCATGATCACAGTCACGGGTAAGAAAATTACATGCAATTTAGTGAAAATGGCGTTTACCTTTAATCGAAAACAAACGAGTCCCAATACTACCTCCGCGACAATTTCGAATCGTGAATCGGAGAGGACCATCGCTTCGAATTCATGAGCTTGTGCAACGTGGCTTCTGATATATCGTTGAAGATTCTCCACACCATAAATCCTCAAGACGAACCATAGCTTCAGTGCTCTGAATCTTCGCCCAAGTGGAATTTGCCAGTGCTGTATTCAAAAAAAGGATTTCACTCTCACTAAATATTACCAAATTTTTGCTTTCGTATAAAAATGAACAATAGTTTCAAACTTCGCGCAAGTAATGAAGATAAATATTGACTGGAAAGTGATATCGCTATTTTTATCTTTTTCAACGAGTAATAGCAACAACTAGATTATAATCATGTGACGAATTATGATCTCAGACTGTTAAACCAATTATAGTCGTTGCAGATGAATTAATTTACCCTATAATCTGGAGCAGATTGTTGCATGTCATGTTTCAGATAAAGAGGATCCACATTGAAAGCATTAATGACATAAGTTGGATCTTTCAGCCACATCGTTGAACAATCGAAGTTCACCAGCATCCATTTGTGGGGGTTGAAGTTGAATGAATCTGCTAATTCGGTGCCTTTCATTAAATATCTAAATTCCGGGCAAATAAAGGAGGAACCTGAAAGGAAATAATTGGATAAATATATTCCGACTTTGGCCATATATTTATCAAACGATTTGTCGATTAATTTACCAGCATATGCCGCATCGACGTGCAACCAAACGTTCTCGCGATTTGCAACCACACCCAGTTCATCGAGACGGTCGAATGCACAAGAGCATGTTGTTCCCAATGTCGCGACGACCTGTAAAATAATCCATCGGTAAGATTTTTAATTAATACTTCGAGTATTACGATTAATTTTTAATTTCTTAATTTATGAATTGTAAAGCTCTCAATTTTAATTCATAGATTCTAATATAGAACTAACTAGAGCTGTGAATATAAATGATTAGCGTGTTATCAGAATTTTCAGCTAGCCGTCTCGATCGCGAAAAAATTTCGTGTTCTCGACCCGACCCGACCCAATATTTCAGGTTCTTGCACGCCTCTAGTATTATTAATTTTTAAATTTGTAAATTGTAATTTAGCGTTAAATGGTATTTAGTCTAATGGTGAACTTGAGCGAAGTATTTTATTTTTCAATAAAATGAATTATTTCTTTAGTATTAGAAAAGATAAAATAATCGTGTTAATGAAGGTTGGATGTATTTTATATATGTACTTGTGAATGAATATAAACTTACGTAGAATGGAATTAGTCCTTGCTCTTTATCCTTGCGGATGGCTTCCGCTAATGTCTCACCACGAAGTTTGTATTTCGAATCGACTTCTAGTAAGCGGAATTTTACGCCTCCAAGAAGACCAGCTCGTTCCACAGAACTGTGTGCTTGACCTGAATGATAAGTTGGTGAAACTAATTATTCATTGCCTGCGATATTATTGTATTTATATAATTATCTGTTTATTACATACTGATCCATAAAATAATGACAGTGATAGAGTTCATTGATCTCAATATGAATAAAAGAAGCAACGATAAAGCAATAAGAATTCATTCTTATTTGTTTGTGTATTGTATGGGGTTACTTACGCGTTCACTCTCTTACATTCTAATCGTCTAATTTATTTCCTTACGTTCACCCAAAGTTCCTCAGTCATAAACAGTCCTTGCACGCGGCCACTTTCGCCCTTCTGCACGCATTCACAGGTATTAGCCTAAGCTATGTATTTATTCTTTTACAACCATGTTCGAAACACTCTTTGCATTCTCTCAGGGCCGTCCCTATTCCAATCCAACAGTATTTGTATTTGCCTAATTTCTAGTGAGTTGTACCGAATGAAAATTTTGTTTATTAATAATTGTACTTAAATACAATTATTTACTGTGTATTTATAAATTTGTTATTTCTTAAATATTTAAATAAATTAGTCTCATTTCAATTTGAAAATCATCTTATCTACTCAAAATCTATTGTTATAGCTGTTCGAATGAAGTAAAAGTAAGAATTCATTTTAATCAACGATCAAATAGAATACCAAATTCAATTCCTTTTAAATCACAGCCTTTAACCTCGAAACATTTTTTTCTCCTTCATTTTCTACGAACAAAAAATCAATCAATTTATTATTTCTCTATTACTCTATTCGAGTACAAACACCTGAAACGCCATTGCCACTCAAACATTAATCCATTTATCGAACAATATGCCTTCTGTATTTTACGAAACAAAGGTTCCTTTCAATTTTCAATCTCCTCGTCACAATAACCAGTAACGATCGCTCTAAGGGGTTAACTACCAGCGAAATAAAAAAGGAGGAAAAGGAGACAAACTGGATAAGAAGTTTTTATAGAGAACAATCACGATCCCACGGGACACATCTTTTCTCCTGATAAGTACTTCTTTTATTTTATTGCCCATGCAATCAGTGTGCTATGTACAATACATGGACGTTTGGGAAAAAATTCATCACTCGTCAACTACTCGATTTCCATACTTAACCTTTTCAAAGAGAGTACGAAAATGCATCGACTGACGAAACACAAAAAAATACGTAACTTCATAGTAAAAAATTAATATTTTTAATATTTTTAGTAAATAAATAAATTTAATATCCTTGAAAATACTTTCTTTACTATTTGTATGACGTGAAAGGAATAAGAAGAAGAAAATATTTGAATTAAATATCTCGTGTCGTTTTACAGGTGACATGACTACCAACCACCTGTTTATATGCAGACATTCACAAGCTAAACTCTACGGAAAGATACAAGTCGTTGAAGAAGTCGTCAGTGACTTAGAACTCGACGCGGAAAAGAAAAAGGTATAAATTTCAGTTACAATTTTTCAAATTTTATGTATTCTTTTACATTGTGTTACGTTTAAAGTTACGGTGGAGGATGAAAGATTACGAAAGGCTTTCGAGTAGCAGAGTTTCTGCGATTCAACGTGCCAATAGGGAGAAAAGGTATCAGGAATATAGGCCAGTGGAGAGGGTAGCGTTGGGTGATGATGGGTGGCGATGGGTGGCGATGGGTGGCAAGGGTCAGAATAACTCGAGTGGTTATTACGCGTTGCCATGGTGACAAAGTGCTGGCTGATGAAGTGCCGCAACCCCATACTCGGCCTGTCATCCCACCCCCTGACTCGCGTGCCTTTGTCAAATGTTAAAGAGCGCCGGCCAACGTCATCGTTAATCTTGTTTACAGGAAATCACGGTCGGGCACGGCTTCGAATTTTTATCCATCTAATCGACAATCCCATTCGCGGTGTTATTTTTCCGAATATTCCACTAATGGAGAGAATCGATGTACGTCGTGAAAGGATTTAAACCTATTTACGCGATGGAATTATTCGGAGCTGTTAAGGGGTGGCTTTGAAAGTATGCGTCGTTCTAAAGTGAGCTATTGAAAATTGGCATTCGTAATTAACGTGGGATTTTTGTAAAATTGGAATTTAAAGTTGATAGAATTTTTTAAAAATTACGATCAGTAGCTGCGATGGAACTTTGTGAGAATTAGAATTAGTAGTTGAGAATAGTTAATAGTTAACAGTCAGTAATAACAGATAACAATTTCTTAAAAATTAAGATTAGTAGTTAACAATAGGATTTTTTGAAAATTGGAATCAGCAATTAAAAATGGAATTTCTTACTTGTAGTTGAAAGCATGAAAGTTTATCAATTGTTATTCGGATATTAAAATTAGTAATTCAATTATGAAAATTTCGAATTTTCGAAATTATGATACGTAAGATTAATTATCTAAACGAAGATTAATTATGTTCGCAAAAAAGATTGGAAATCCAGTCATATTATCATATCATTTATGCATTATTACAAGTTATACCGATAATTACAGTTTCAATCCACGTCGATTACAATCTACACTGATAATTTTGTAAACTTGAGATTATATTTGAAACAATTACTCACAGGAACTATAAGCGATTAGCTTTCCCACAATTTCGTTATCGGTCCACTCAGGATGCAGTTCCTTGACCTGCCTTACTTTTCTAGCCTTGGCGCCGAGAAGTGCGACTAAAGTGGCTTCACTCGCAGTTCCCTATAATGTTAAATTGATCATTAACTACTATTTATGAGTTGTTAACTATGTCCGAGCTGCGCGTGGAATATCGATCAGGTCGAAGATAAAGATTAAGATTCTTGGTAAGGGACAGAATAGACGTGCAACAGGTGAATCTGGCAGAAAATTTATATTTATCGACAATTTCATAGGCTGATTACACCTTAAGGGTTCAAAAAAAGAAAATAATGTCACATGGAAAATACAAATTTCAAATCTTTTTAAATAAGAAATTTAAATTAATGAGTTAAATTTTTAAATGAACTTAAAAAGACTTTATGAGAATAGTGATTTAGGTTGTTCTGACTATCCGAAGAATATAAATTCTTTTATTTAGGAAAGTATTGATTAATTTTTCTCAAGAAAATTACCTGAATAACACCACCTCCTTTGCCACCACTGCAAGCTAAAAATTCTTTGGGTAGGTCTAACATTTTTCCCAACCAATCCAACATTATCACCTCGAGTTCGGTACAAGCAGGACTTGAGATCTAAATACGAAGATTTAATTTAAGAAATTCATTATAAATGTACGTATTTCGTATTATTCGAATTTGAATTAAATAAAAGGATTGAACAGGAAAGGCAGGAACGGTAATTAAATGTACGAAGGATTATATTGAGGCATTATCTCTTAATTAAAATTTGATCCTCACCCAAGAGAACCCGATGCACGCAATGGAACCGCTAAGCATGTCAGCAACGAGTCCTGGATATGATTGGGCAGTGGGAAAATACGCATGAAATTTCGGACTCTGCCAGTGAGTAACCTACAAGAAAAATCATAGTCGTTCGATAAAAATTTATCACTCAAAATACTCGTATGTCAAAAAAAAAAAAAAAAATAATTTGATATTCTGTATTATTCTGTAATATGCATTTTTCGGTATTTTATCATTCGTGATATAAAATTATATTATATATTTATCTAACACTATAGTTAACTTACACCTGGCATTATTACTCTTTCGATGTCTGTCATAATGTCCTTCCAGCTTTCTGGCTTTTGTGGAGCCTCGGTTGGCAAAAGGGGTTTCATGTAACCTGGTTCTACCGTTGGCAGTACTCGCCTGTAAATTATATTTCGTTAACACTGATTTTAAATCAAAAGGGTTTTGAGCTCCGGAAATCCGGAGAAAGCTCGAATTATATCAGGCATCTTTATCTTTATCTTTTTATTTCTAGCTGAAAGGTCGGGACACCATGAACGATGAATTAAATCGAAGTAAATTTTTCATGAAATTTGTAAAATTGCTTTCTGCATTCTTTAATAGTAATTTAACACAATTACAAGACAAAATGGATTAGTATTTATAATATTTATGATATTTCATAATTTTTTAGAAATTATATAAAGACATTCGTGAAATTGTTGTATGACTAACTTGAAAGTTAAAAAAGGCTTATTGTTGGGAATTAATACGTGTCATTGAATGGTAGTCATCGCAGAAATGGCTTAAAAAAATACGAAGGACGATGAAACAGGATATAGTGTAAAAAGATAATAGAAAATTCACCTGTCCCTGATATTCTCCAGGTAGTTAGTAATGTATTCCACCATTTCCGTGGCGAATTCCTTGAAAGTGTCGCAATCCATTTTATGTTTCCTGTAATATTCCAAAATTTTCTTAATTAAAGTACTTAGGTTTGATACTATGATTTTATTTTACATCCACTACTGATATTTTATACATTCGTGCAATGGAAATTTAATTTATTGATCAATTCTAATAGATAATGATCTGCGATAGTTAACAATAGTGTACAAAGCGATTGCTATTGTTTCTTTAACACGTTTCTTTTGAATAATTTTACATGCAAATGTAAGATTCCATATACTTCGGAATACTAGATAAGAAGATAATTTTACACTATAAACTGCAATTTAATTCTAATTTTATTTATTATTTTATTTAATTTGAATTTATAATAGAAATTATATTAATAATCTAATAATAATTCGTTCAATGTAGTTTGTATTATGACAAATGCTTAATACCAATCTGATGGAAAAGAAGTAGGTGTAAATTAATTGTACGATGATCTTAATTCACAAATACAGATGCTGTAATTCTTTTAAGTCATAGTAAGGTGTCTAGTAGTTTTATCTCCTGTTACTTGATCATAGTTACGAGCAATTATGATGATTGTTCATTCATTCGATATAATCTCTATTAAATAATGTAATGGATGTACATAAATCCAATTTAGAGCTCACACTATTGTACGTCTTTTTATTCATCTATTGTTATCAGTCATTAGTTTGAATAAAAAATTCAATAGCAATCAGAACCACTCTGCCAGTACTATCATTACTATTAATCATATGAAAATCACAAAATCAATTATCCTAATCGTTATGTAGTATAAATTAGTAACAACTGGAAACAATCGTGTTTTGCGTACTTTTTATTTTTTCTCCAGGACTCTTTATTACTATGTTCGTTTCAGATGATTGTTGTACTTTCAAAATTTATTTATAAAATTTTCGATCATACTACATTTCGGAACAACGTGTAATAATTTATTTAGCAGTATAGGCACGTTATCTATTCTTGATTTTGACAAGAAAGAAATATTTTCAAATTAACTTATTCATCTATTTATTTATTCTCCTCCGAAATTTATTCCTGAAGATTAAGAAATTTTGATTCTAAATTCTGTAAATTATCCAATCTTCCCCGCATTTCAATTAAAATTGAAGAAAATTTCGTGGTATTTATTGAAATGGAAATTATTTCTTTCCAAATTTACAAAATCATAATTTTGATCTGCCATTGGACTTAGCAACAGAGTATCGTGAAAATCCTTCGAGGTCAGTGATGCAGATCTTCGAGTTACAACGTTCGAGTCATTGGCAGCGTTCTATACACGCTATGCAATAATTGACAACTCTAGTCTTTTGAATGTGGGACTTAAGAATCGAGGTAGAAGACAGCGACACGTGTTTCGTCCCTGGATAGTGAATAAGAGATGGAGAGATTTGATCTGTTCTGTAATGAGTTTCCATCGTGAACGGAGACAAGTTGAGTCGCGAAGAAATAATGGCCATGACTCAATTTTGTGAGGCAGGTTTCGTTCGGTTCCTTTCCCCTTTACGATTTGCCATACACTGCTTTTTATTTACACAGCGTTGGACGTAATGACACACCCGATATTTCGTTACATGTTCTTGGAGAATTGTGTTTCTGGATACGATATTCTTTACAGTATTCTCGAAACTAAAATTGAAACTTCGTAATTTGTTTCACTATGAAAGTTAAACGCTTTTAAATTGAATTTAAAAATTTTAAAAATAATTTAATAATTCGAATAATCATTTTAATACAAATTACAGTTATACGTTATTTTTAATTCTCAATATGCAGAAGTAAAAATTTCGTGTTAGGCGTATAGTTTTAGAAAATATTTTAAAGAGTACATAGAAAGTACTGTCGTCTTCAATTTTTAGAATGTACATTTCATTTTTCCCTTAAAATTGACTTTTACTAGGTAGTAGAATTTCACTCAAATTTTACTAGAATTTTATCAGACAGTGTAAGTCTAGTGTAATAAAATAATAGTTAAAGTTAAATAGGCAACAACAATGAATTTTATTTTATTACATTTTGTTAAAGATTAATACAGTATGCTGTCGAAAAAGATATCGGTGACCAAGACCAATAATCCATTGCATACGAAAGAAGGAAACGATGAAGAATTTGCCTCGAACGTTAAAGAAACCAGGATCCCTTGGGTATTCCCCTGATCACGACTGTGACGTCAAAAGATTCTCAGAATTGGAATCGTAATCAGGGAATTTCCTCGTAAAAGTGCATTAACTGTTTAAGGTTAGAAACCTCATCGATGAACAAGTAAACTTATAACACTTTCACGTGTAACTTGTCTCATCGTTTCATAAAATCCTTCCTTTGGAAAACTTTGAATTACGTAAATTCAGGCAAATTGGCCTTGTTCTCAGGAATTGTTACGCAAAACCTTGCAATAATTGTAAAAGCGTTACAATAAAAATTTCCCTTTAAATTTCAACAATGCTGGACGTTGCTTAAATTTTGTTGTAATTTTATTAATTTTAATAATGACTTTAATTAACATCTGTTTTATATTTAAATTATTTTTGTCGGATTATTTTTGTCGCAGTACTAATACAAGCTAAATTACTCCTATTCATAACTATACGTATGTAATAATTTTGTTCTCTTTTTATATTAAATATTATAAAAAGAGCTATAAAAATCGAAAAAAGATCTGAAAGAAGAAGCTGTAGAAAATTAAATTAAATATTGTTTTTTAGATTATGATATTTATGAATCGAAAGTCTGTGAATTAAATTTGTAATATTTGGTCTATATCGACCATGACCGATTATCGTTCCTTTAATTCCTGTTGTGATCGAACAAGGTCAGTTATTATATTCTTGTTCAAGAATCAGGTTTTTATTTCTTCTCACAAATTGCTCAACGAGAATTACTCAACTCCTATACCTTTCAATTTCTAATTACTCTGAATTTAATTCGTTCAAGCGAAAACTGATATTTTAGAAAATTAATAGAAACAGTAAAAATGGAAAAATTTAATTTAAATCTTTCAAAATTTACATAAAATAATTAGCTTATTAAAATAACTTTTTTAATAAATTGTAGACTTTCTATATTTTATTTCCATCAATGAGAAATCCCAAATTAATTCGCAATAAGTACATGGGTAGTAAATAATTATTAAACAATCCAAATGAGTTTTTCCTGTGATATTAATTTACTGTATACTTCTGTCTTTTGAAACCTCGACAAATATCAAGATATTTGATTATTTCTTCTAAAATTTTTTTAAAGGTACAACCATTAATATTCTCCAAATAAATATCGTTGAGATACGACAAGTGCATTGTTGAAAGCCATGCGTGTCATTTTCAGATGCGTTAAAAGATAATGGCAGATTTTGTATGTAACTTCAGGCCGTGTCGTCAGCTGATAAATGATCCATGAGCGACCTCTTGCGGTAGATAATCTCTAACAACCTCACGTGATTTCCACTTCCACCATTGTCAAAATTTTTATCTCTGTTATTCCAATTTTTAATTTTCAAAATTGATCTGTTAAAATTTTCGACACTTAATTGTTCCAAAATAAATTTCAGACAATTGACAATGTTTGTTGCAGTATTTTTCAAATATTGGAAACTATAAGCATGACACGTCAAATTATTTAATAACGATTTTCCAAAATATCAATGCATAGTCTCGTATAAACTTGACATTTGACATACACAGAATGTCTCGCATGATTATTAGTCACGTTGTTTTTCGTATCGTAATGCTACTTATTTCGAGACGATTAGTGCTCGTATCGTTTAAAAAATTTTCCTCACTCTATCCCGATAATGCTTGGCGTGTTTTCTAATTAGTCACGACAAATTACAACATTGATCACACATAACTTACGAGTGAGTTTATGCAACTATTTCAGTATATACATTTGCCTGTCTGATTACAGTTGTTGACGCAAAAACTACGAATTATTCATTGCATATGAATTTTCGTTCTTCTGGAAATTGAAACACCCGTTAAAATAAAAATTTCAGAATAAGGTGCTTCATAACAAATATACGATACTGTAGCTGGCACAGTGTATTTACTGAAATACCTATTTCTATTTTCCTATGGGAAAATATTGGGAAATACATTAGACGTTTAATTGCCGCTGTGGAATGCAAAGGAATTTACGTTATTCGAAACTATTGCGCAAAAATCGAAGACAGGTATATCTTTCGTACCTTCAGTCATTCTCTGGTTTTATAATTGAATTTATGACGCGATCAAGGAAATGATAAGTGCCTAACGCTTGTTTTATCGTACTTGATACTGTAAGAGATAGGACGTTAGCTATGTTCCAAGTGCCTCGTTATTAACTTGCTAGTTTATCCAAATCATTAAACAATTAGTGCGCAAATTAATTACACTTTTAATTCATGTCAAGATATGGTATAATAAAATTTGATTATACTTCATACTTTGGAATACAAAATACCGACTAGTTCTAATTATACACTGATTAATACCATTAGTCATTACCTTGTTCTAAAGTATGATATCCAAGGTATCCCAAATAACGAAAAATCTCATAAATATTTTAAAAAGTATGAACTGTTAAACCATTTGTCTATAGAATTTTTCGTTATGTCAACTTAAATGGGACACCCTGTATATTTAAATGAACCAAATGTCTATCATTGTTTCCAAGTTATATTAACATTTCCAAGTCATATTCTCGTTCTTCATATCTATTATATTTTACATATTTTATAATTCATAATTGCATAATTGCAATTAACATGAAATCAAATTACATTTAATAAGGGACAAGACAAAACTGTTTCTTTATAAACAAAACAATACCATCTACTACAAATATATATTATTTAGCAACTAAATACTATATATTTTATACATCCTATTTCCAATCAGTCAAATAAATCAGTTCCCTTATTCTATTCTCACTTTCAAATATTCCTTACGTCTTTCATTTTGATATATATTTTATGTATTCCATTCCTCATCCTCCATAACCCCCTTCTCCAACCCCCTTACTCCTAACACTAAAACTATCAAATCAGTCAAAGTGACTCGTCTCAGACTTCCATTTTTATATACATCTGCCTCTGATAAAAAAAGGACGAAAAATAATACCGGCAATTCCTCAAATAAAATCGCAATCACCAATTCCTTCATTTTCATCGTGTCACTGTAATTAACGTCACTAACGTGCAATATTTACACAAATTACAAATACAATACAAACTACAAATCAGGTACAGATCATTAATCCTAGTGTCCACCCTCTGCATTCGACGATCCTCACGATCAGTTCTAACAATGACAGAGATCAATAATCGATAGTACGTTCATAATAACACAATGAAATAACAAAATTCTGTGATTTAATTTAAAAACGATCTCTTTCCAAGTTACCGTATAAAATTTCATCAGAGCTCTGGACTCGCTAGATCCTTACAATCAGATCCTCGAGTGCAAAGGGAAGGAGTATGAGAAAGCCAAGAAGAACGTACCAGGTTACAACGTAGTCGCGATGCGGTCACTTGACAGTCGACGATCCACATGGATCCGGCTGGCGGCGAGTTAGACGAAATCCGCGATCACGATCGAGCGGTACACGGTCCGCGAGTGTCCGTGTGAAATTGCCGTCTCGCGTGAACGTCGAGTTGCTTTATGTACCACCCCACCCAGCAGCCAGGCCACGCCGCTCGTCGGATCCTTTCGACCAGATCGCGATTGCCAGCTGCGCAGGTAGATCCGCTCGCTTCGTCCCTGAATTCGCGATCCGATCGATCCGGCTTTCCAAGCGAAAGAGATCGATGAGCCAAGTCTGTCGAACTTTGATTAGAGTTCGCCGTGATACGCGAAGTCGCGATCAACGACTTCGTTAATTGCTCGATCGTAGCCGAGCGATTTCTCGACCATTGTCGGCGATGATTACCGACCGAGTCGTTACTGGGGTGAATTTTGTTGCGATTTAACGGTGGATTTCGTTGGGATGGAAGGATCGAAGGCGCGAGGAAGATTGGGATCGGTGGTGAGTTTTGTTGGATAATGGGATTTGTCGTCGGTGTTGTGCAAGGTTACTTTTCGTACTGGAACACTAACGATCTGCTGTATAGACAGATGTGTACTTTATATTGATTATTTTGTAGCAAACATGTTACCGACGTTTCATACCGATATAGTGTACATTCTAAAAATTTTAATTGGAAAAGAAGACGAAGAATTGGATATGGTTTGAGTAAAGTAAATAATTATAGTCGAAGTGGTATGGAAATAATAGGGGTAGTGTATAAAATTGTGTCGTGATCTACTCAATGAGGATTTTGAGTAGAACAAGTGTGCGATTTTTGTTTTGGTTTTGAAAAATTTAAAATATTATTTAAAAAAATTAATTGAATTAGTGAGAAACGAATTATCAGACTAAATCGATATTTTTCGAAATTTTTTTCTTTGAAGCTTGCCCTTTGTGTTACAAGCCATCGAAATCGCGATGAAAGATCAGCAAAGTGTAAACGAAGTAGGACGCGAATGTTTCTTAATAAGCCCTAATAGCGTAATGACGTTTGGAAAATCAAAGGCCGTGGTAGCGAGACGAATTGTAACTTGATTTCAAGTTCGAAATCAAGGCGCTATTCAAATGGTGGAATCGAATTAACACTTTCGAAGTCGGTGCTGTTTCCGTCGATCCATGCGATATTTTATAAAATTGTGTTGTGACAAAACTTCTGTTTTTCCTTCTATCCTTTATATGCAAAATTTATTTGTTCTTGCAACCAGTTTCTACTTTCATGTTTGCAATGGCGCAGACACAATAGCTCGGTCAGTGAATGTGATACGAAGGTCATCCGAAATCAGGTACAAGTGGAATTTGATTATTTGAAAGGTGTAACTTTTATTCTGGATGAACTTTTGTTTTAAACTTCGTCCTTTACATGTTTCACGTAAATGCACTTTTCATATTCTTCCGTATGTACCTTTGGATATTATAAAATAAGAATCGAAGATAAAGTATTGCTTACAAACTAAATATTAAGGAAATGTAAATAATAATTTCGAGTTGTTACTATGTCATTGAAAATTTATTTTAACCTATTCGGTAAATATGTCAAAGTCAATTGCGAAATAGGGTAATAGATTAATTAAGAAATATAAGAGGGTAATAATATTAATTAATTAATAATAATATATAGGGTAATAATATTAAGAAATATTATTGCATGAATATTTTATGATATCAAAGTTTAAATTAAATTGAAAGTAATATATATAAATAATAAAAATTATATTTTATATTATCTATAATATAATAACAGAAATAATAAAATTTATAAATGATGCATTACAAATAATAGAAGTCATTAAATATCTTTAACTATATAATGTTACAAAAATAGACTCAACTACATAAATTCGCAAAAATTTATTAAACAGTTTGAACTAGTAACCAAACTCCATATCAAAGTTACACTATGTTTACTTCCCGATTATATCTAATTACAACCGTCACTGACAAATCTTAGACAAACACCAAACCAACTCGTGCCTAATAGACCCATTCGAGAAATAAAATTATTAAAAGATCAATTCACTATTTCGTAAAAGTACTCGACGTTCAACAAGTTGTCCAAACAGGGAAAAACCTGTAGCTTTGAAGAGTAACTATCCGTGGACGAAGCGTTTTCTCGAATTGGAGTAATTACTGTAATACCAGTGACTCTTGAGTCGAGTAGTCGTTAATGACAGTCACGATCGTTTCTAGCAGGTTTGTCCGAGAAATACGTCAATGACTCGAGCGGAATCGGGCCTTTACCTCGTTCACCTCTACCTCGGTGTTTCCCTTTCCACGTAACGCAGAAAAATGTTCCCAGAGGAATTTTGCGCGTAACAACACTGAGTCATTCGGATGGAAACGGAAAGGCCGAGATAAAGCTACTTTCTGTGGCGACGATGCGTATGTCGTGGATCACGCGTGTGACGTGGGATATTCCGAGGATGCTGAGGTATACGTGTTTGGGTCAGTTGCAACATGTATACGTAGTACGTGGAATCAAGGAAAATTATTTTCTTATCGATTTGCATGTCTGACGATCTGTGTAAATTTGATCTTTGTTTTCGATTTGTGATATAAGTACTTATAATTCTCGGTGATTTTTGAAATCATGCATGTTCATTTTACACTAGCTTAATAATATGGGGAAAAATTGAGAATATACTGTGATTTGCGCAACAATTTTTGTGTATTCTTAAAAGATAGTTATTGTGTGACAGTAACATCGAGGAATTTTTCCAAGGTACAGGATAGTTAGATGGTGGTTAGAGCAATGGAAGGAATGAGATATAGATCGACTTTTACGTGGAGACCTTGCGTTTATACATACACGATTGAATTGCTAATATTGCGAAGATATTAGTGAAGATAACAAGTTATTGGTAATATATTTTTATAGGTGCTGAACGAGAGTACTTCGAAATATTTAAATTACTATATTTTGTAGTGACGCGCGTGTGTTTATAAATGATCTAATATTTACAGTAAATATGTGCAATGATGTTATTTAAGTAGAAATTTTCACACGCGCTCATTTCGAATGCAAAATTGTCAGTCTGTCAGCTTACATTTTTTATTCCAATCAGTAGTCAGTATTCTAAACCTGATATTCTAAACCTGAATGCTCCAGAAAGTAATTTCATTCCAAGTCACTATAGATCGACAAGTACACCACAGAAATTAACATTCGAGCTACCAAGGGCATCAAAATGATATATTTTAGAATTTTTATTCTTACGTTTATTGCAAAGTTAATATCCATTTTTATTCGCGCATAACCACAATGGTATTTTATATATTTGGTTTCAAAAACGAATAAAAATTAAACCTAATCAACGACTACGTCATAAGGGAAAATTCTATTCAACTTTGACCATTGTCTTGGCATATTAATCCTGTGGAGAAGTAATAGATCACGGACTTAAATCGTGATCCGACAAGTGGTAGAATAAATGCGTAGGATGAATGGCTGGATGCTTCTTAAAGAAGGTTTCTGGATGGTTGAAAGAGAAAAGGGGGTAAAGTGGCCGAGTTGCCGAGTGGTCGAGGGAGGACAGTTCCTCTTCCTCTGCTTGCCCCCAACTTTTACCAGAGCTTCCTTCTGCACCTTCGATTCTCCCTGTTCGATTTGCCACCCTTATTCAGTCGTCGAAAAGCCAAGAAACGAATGTACTTTTCCTCGATACACTGTGCCGTCGTCATGGCTACCATCGTCTTGGATAATCTTCCGCCTCTAAGGACATGTTCACCGTTATATCAGGCCATTTTATTTCTCATTTCAACGAAATCGTTTTCAGCTATGAGCTTAGTTCTGTGAGATAAGCGTACACTGACGAGAATTTTCAGAATTTTCGCTGATTTTAACTCTTTAAGCATCGAATTATTTCACAAAATTCGATCCTAAGTTCCTGTATTATCGTTTGTTATTATCGATCTAATAAGCCAATAGATACGAAAGAATGTATCGTAAATAAATTCGCAAAGAAGTTAGTGTCTCGGAAAATTAATTTATACCGTAGAATTTTATAAGTTCAGTGAATAAAATGGATCACTGTTAACAAGGGATGAAGAAAATTTTGCATAAAATCGAAACCGTGTTAATATTGGTATATAAAGGGTTAATGAGATCAGATAATTATTTCGTTGAATTTAATTGAAGAACTTGTAGATATTTTTGTAGAATGAAAATGCAAAGGAACTTATTTAGAAGTTAAATAAATATTTGATCATTTTTTACATTTCATTTGGATATAAGAATTCAGAGGAATATGGAATGCAATGAAAGATACAAGGGTATAATAATAATAATTAAATTATTGGCTACTTTTATTTCAAAGATTTCGTTCATTCATTTTGAAATTATTTCCATTTCACTTTTAACTTTAGTTTCCTTTAGACAGTTCTTATAGTGGAGAAAATGTCATTAACAGAGAGGATGACTCGAGCCTGGGAAGACAATTTCCTGGTGTCTCATGGTCCACCATTTCCTTTGACTAAAGTTGTTCGTCTATTCCGTCCTACAAGAATCTAAGGGCTTTGAATCATACTCGGCCCCCTTCTAGCAGCTTTGATCATTCTAGTGCTCTTAATATATCTCTGTTTGACACTGCTAGATACCATTATGTCTGTCTTATATGATCAGAAATGATGAATAGCATACCTTTCGTGTATCGACATAAAAGATTTCTTAATAATTGATTATCACCAAGTCTCAAATTCAGCGAAAATAAATCGAAATTGAATAAAAATTTAATCCCCTCAGTAGCTACTTGTTCTGAAGCCACAACTGGAATGTTGAATAAATGTAGGAAACTATACATGAAATATTTAAATAAAATAGTTTTATTCTTTAATTTACGATATTCTTTTATTTTATTATAAAACATACGACCGATTTTACAGTAGGAAAGGTATGAGCTGTTATTTTCCTACAGCAAAAGAATGTTCAAGTGCAAAGGATTAATAGAAATTAAAAATGTACGTAGATTACGTACATAGATTACGTTGAATCATAAATGAAAATTTATATTTGAGGACTATTTTAATGCAAAAAGAATTGGTATTTAATTTTTTATTACTATTGTTTTATTGTTTAATTCGGTTTAAGAATTTAAGGAATTTCCCGAAAATCGCGTTAATATGATTAACAGCTATAACCAGGGGTACCATGACGCGAAAGAAAGAGTG